TATAAGAATGTTCCTAAAAGAACGGAGACCGGTTAGCAATGGAGCCTCGTAAAAAGGGTGTTTGGATGGAGGTGACCGAGAGGGGCGGGGGCCTCACGTAAGCTTTACCCTTGGGCGATTTGGGAACCAGATGAACGGCACCAGTTAACAGGGGGAGTCATTCAATTCTTATTATTGGCGGGAGGAGTCGAAGTTTGGTTGCTGCGTTGGTATAGCTAAAGGAAACCATGCTGTCGGAAGAACGAGCTGCGGCGTCAAGGGGACCTTACCCAATGTAGTGAACCAGCCGTGACATGCTGCCACTCACCCCAGCAGAAAAAACGGCGACGTATCGCCGTAAATGTTGTATTGTATACACCGCTTGAGCCGAGTGTGAAGGCAGATAGAGTTTGTAGTTTGACATTCTGATATCGATTCAGATGGTGCTGTTTTATGACTTACAAAGACACTTCTCCTGTCCTTCGTTCAGCGCCTTATTGGAGATATTGTTGCAAAATAGGTTTCGCGATAAAACCGAAGGTCAGAGAAGGGGAAACATACCTCAGTGGAGAGACAGGCGGACTTCCAAGTGGATATACCAACACGCAATTTTCCGGAAAGGTATATCCCCGGCGATCTAGCATGCGTCCCCGCGGCGCTGTTAGCGCGGTACGCCCACCTACTGGCTAACCACTTGCCGCAGGTCTCTAGCCGTTTAGCAGAGAGAGCGTTAGCGTTGAAGAGGGCAGCCGATGAGAGTCGCATCAATGCGGAAATCAACGGGCAAGGAAGGGTCCATTTCTCGGGTTCTGGGCCATTTCTCATGGTTTTTCTTCATCGCGGCACTACTGACCACCTCTAGCTTGATCCTAGTGGGCTGCCTTCCAACCGTAAAGTACGCCTGTAAGGGCACATTCTTGGACATTGGAGAGTTCCCTCTGTGGATGTGGCTGCTCTGTCCACATCTCAGACCAGCCACCTTTGCGCCTCGAAGCGCATAGAGGTTTAAAATTCGGATTGGCAACGCGCCACGGTGTACCACATAGACTGCAGAGTGGGATACGAAATTGCGTCAAGCTGTCGTCAATGTGTACAAGGCAATTGGCACGACAATAGCATTCTGAGCAGGCTTCGTAGAGAATGATACGTTTCGCCTTTACAACTAGCAATAAGGGTGTGCTCATAGCCACACAGTAAGGCCTTACGTCATTTTTTGGGCGTTTTTGTTTTTTCGCCCGCCCCCGATGGAGTTGAGACTTGGTCGTCCGGTCCTATCCGTTTTTAGAGGGGCAGAGCAGAGCGTTCGTATCGATAACGCTAACATTGATGCGACTAACCCAAAGCGGAAACCAACAAGGAGAACTTGTATTACTCGGGGTTTTGGACCGGACCTCTTTATTTCTGTGCTGCTGCCCCCCCCCCCTTAGCATCTCTGTTTTCATTCCCAACGAGCTACCGATTTATCGTGCCATCTGCCTTCAAAACATTACGACAAATGATTCGATGACGGCAATGCGAGCCATTTAATGTCATACGCTACCTGCATAAAAATGATTTATTGATCGAACAAGCTTACCAGGAAGGTCTTTCAGGATCGTGCCCCGCTTTTTGAAAACGGTTTTTTGCATGATATAGGGGCACATGCATAAAACACAGAACTATAGTTCATTTTTCCTGAGCGGCCCTCTGAATACCAAAAAAGGGTGAAAAAAATCGCACATTAGTAGAACGCAATTTTGGCAAAAGCCTACGTCCATAAGAGTTATTCACTGTCCTAATGAATAAAATCCGGATTCTATTACTGAGACGTGTATCATTTTGCACCCCAGCATCATGCTCGGTCAAACAATGCAAACTGTCGCCTCATCACGGGGGAAGAGCCAATTACGACGCACTTCCCTGCTTTTTTTTGCTGTTTCAAAAGGCCGACTCTAACACTACAGCATAGTTCCATGTTCCATGCTAGTGCCCAATAATGTAAAGAAGCTTTTATTGGAGGCAGGCATGGGCCTGAAGCAGAGCCTAACTAGTTGGAATTGGATCGTGCGCAAGAAATCCCACCGAAAAAAAAAGTTGATCAAATTTGTACGAGGAGAATCGGCCGTGTCAATTGACCATTTGATTCTCGACTAGATCACCATTTGTATTTCATTCTACAACCAACCAGTCGATGTTTAGTAAAAATGAGTTTCATTGCCGTTGAAACGATCGCATATTTATCGCTTTATGGTCCTGATTGCCGAATCAAACACCATATAAAAGCTTTGGAAATGTCAAAGCACTGTTTCTGAACAAGGCTTCGAGAAGCACTCCGCCCCCAGAAAGACCACTCTGCGCACGTGGTTTACCTTGCGTGATTCGACGACCTGCGTCGCCAGCTTGCGGCTAAAAAAATGGGGCAACTTGTGTGGTTTGGCATGGTGCCACTAAACGCATTGCGCTGAACTCGTTCATGGGTCAGTTTTCAGAGCAGTTATGTATACATGACTGGAAGCCAACGGCCAAAAAGGGTCCCGTTTTTCGCGATTTCTGACATATTTCTCTGCTTTTTTTGCCACTGTCGAGCCATTGTGGGCATCAAATCACCACGTTCTCTCTTGAACCCTTTTACACAGTCACGTAATCCGTTGCCTGTATTGATATGGGAAATTCGCTAGAAAACTAAAAACCAAAGGCTTGAGCTGGACTATGCTCGAAGAGCGGAAGACAAAAACCATCCGAACACCAAAAAACAAGGAATTTTTCTAGGCCATAGAGCACTTGATGCAAAAGGCGCACGTACTATAAGATTACTGGGGCGACAGAGGAAAGAGAGAGAGAAAAAAAACGACGGGACGAGTATATGGGAGGCGAGAGCGAAACGAGATTATGAACAGGCTTTGAATTACTTGCTGATAAATATGCTAGCCCACGTCATGTCATCTGGTCGCCGACATAATCGCCGCGACTGCTATGCCGGTTATGAAGCTAAAGCGATGCCGCTGACGTTTTGCAATACTGATGAGTTTGGTAGCAAATGTGGTAAGAATCGTTATAAATAAGAAAGTGAAGCTGCCGAACAGGGATTAAGAACGATACTGAATGTAAAAGATTTAGATAAACGGTTGAAAGTCGCGGAATTAGCGCGCATATCAATTCTCTCGACTCGTGAAGCGCGTTTTTCTACCCTGCGTCCGATGAACTGTGTACACTCTCGATGGCACGTTCACAAGAACTCTTCAGCTTGAATAAAGAATAGATAAACAATACATCTCTTAGGATCAAAGAGAGAGAGAGAGTGCAGCCGAAAATTGTCTGCTTAGCCGATAGTAACAAATTTCGCCACGAACTAGCAGTAGGATATTTAATCGCAACAATTTTGAAAAAATCCTCAATTTTAATGAGACCGTCTCAGGCTGTTAGGCTAGCGTTAGTTCGGTGCTTACGCTGCCCCGAGATTGATTCGAAAAATTATTCTGAAGTAGGCTTTTTTCTCTCCATGATAGTCCATGATTGTCTTGGAAGAATCTCGCATAGATGTTTTCGAGGCATCAGCTGTGGCTGTCGCACAGCCAGCCAGTTTACACAGAAAAGTCGTGGCGAAAATGCCTGCTCGCATCTCATAAACCGCACATGTCTTCTTAATCCGACTCGTTGACGTCTCGCGATCCACACCACTCGACATGTTAGTGGGACCAGCGTGAGATTTCTGTATTTTTTGTCATTATCAATGCTATACGAACGCCATAGAAGCTCCTGAGAATTTGTGGCTTTTCGCGCCCGCTTTTGACTAGTCACCAGCAATTTCCTAGTGCCAATTTTCAGCACCTCCCAGAACACCAGAGCTGTGCAACTACTAGGTTCTAGGCGGACATAGCGCGACCTACTGTAAAATTCAACGATCTTTGGAGCCCAGTTGCTTCTCAGGCTCTTGGGCGTTCTTCACACACTGTCATTAGAAACTCATACAACAGTCCATTAGTTGGCATACATATTTTATTCAATTCTTGACTAACAAAATAAACTCACTAAATAAATCCACGTAAACACAATAAATAAATAACGATAAATAGATAAATAATGATCGATCAACAAAAATAAATAAGGTTAAATTTCTGTAACATTCCGTTATTTTTTAACTCTACGATACGAACTTTGTTTGTTTCCCCTTCCTAGCCAAATGAAGCGTCGTGAACCCTTCTAGGAGAGGGAACAGTTGGACATTTGCTGAAAAGGGGGAGCACGATTTCTACTCGCCATTTTTCCTACTAGACGAGTAAGCACCTCGCTCGGATTTGAAGGGATAGACTTAGTCGTGGGGAGAGGGTTGACTGTTGGGACTGTTAGGAGCTTACAAGAGTCTGGAAATTAGGCATCCCATTCTCTTTTGGCCATCGGGTTTGGCCAGATGTAGGAATGCTCTTGATTGCCCACTGGCGTAGGAATAATGGCCTTGGCTAAGTGAATAAAAGCGATAGCAAAGTTAACGTAACCTCTACTGGAAGTGTTGCTCCCATATGATCATTCCTTGACCTATTAGTCGCTTATAAGCGGGAATCGTGCCAGTATTAGCAAAAGTAGTCAGGTAGTGCTTAGATACGCAGTCAAACCTGACACAACACAAACATAAGATTTCGATAACTGGAGATTTACCGCTGGAGATGGAGCAGCCTCGCTATTTAAATGGAGCCATGTCTGAGCCTAAATTTGCAGAAGATAATTTACTTACAGCATTGCAAGAAGTACGGGTCATCTCCACGACTTAAGCGCCTAGGAGGGGACAAGGAACATAGCCGAAAATAAAAACTGGCTCGACCATGCATCATGGAGCCCCTGTTTGACCCATTGCTCAGGCCCGATTTCAACGAAAATGAGATGTTTTACGGTATTTCAATGATGGGCCACTATCACAGTGCCCCGTATTTTGCGCGATAGCGCCTTAATTTACCTTTGGTTCATTTAGAAAGTAGCGTATTCTCAAGCGTCTAAAAATAGCGGTATTCAATAGCGAAAATGTGTCTTCTCAAGAACAGAATTCCAGGATGTCGTACGAGACGATTTCCGTGCGAATGAATCGCAGTGATCCGAGCATCAGATGGGGCTTCACGTTACGGCAGCAAGGAGCCAAGCTCGTCGTCGCCACGGTGAGTTCCAGTCCTTTGGAGTTTTTTTCACGTAAAACTCGCAGTTTGTTTTTGAGTAATAACTTGTATCTCCATTTTTGACATCCCATCTTCAACAAAGGGCTTTCATGATCATTTATACGGTACCCCTGAGGGATGGAATCTGAGTACACTGTCGTTTATCGTCTAACGCCAAAAACCTGAGCCATGTCGGATTGAGGGTTAATCGGATTTCTTACCGGGAATTTTCAAGATCTTTCTGCATGTTTTCTCATACCACTCAATGGCAGCGGTTTTTAGAGTCTTTTGAGTGCTTCAGAATAGGGAACTTGTGACGTGAGAACAGTGGAAATAACCACTGGTAAGCCTCACTTATGTCAGTGGATGTATCTTCTAGCTAGGTCTTTCATTGAACCAAAGCCATTCGGGACGGTTTATGAACCAAGTACGTGCCAGATGAGACCATACAGGTCGCAGCGGAGGTGTTGGGGAATTCAAGTTATTAGCTATCGCAAGATACGGGGACTGTGTTGGCAGCGCATTGGAATCGCGTGAAACATGTCCTTTTTTGAAAACGGAACCAAGCCTCAGGCGGGGGAGGAGAGGCTACAGAACGCGCTAGCCAATTTCATCCTCCCTAGAATTCCTGCCTGGCTTAGTAAAAGGGGATGCCCTTGTGAATTGCGATATCGCCTCAAGATATTTTGGTTAGCGAAAAAGGGTCCATATTGAAGGCTTTGTGCCTAATTCAGCCCAACAAGAATGTGGAAAAATGAAAGGGCTGATTCTAAATTCCTTTTGCTCTACCTTTCCATCAACAACCATGTGTTTTATGAGAATGGGAAAGGGAAGGAATCAGGCATGAATTACCTTAGAGTTATGGTGCTTCGTAGTGGGGGCGGCACAGTGGAAAATGGCGCTGGTTACCACGTTCACGGTCTGAGGGATTGAATTTTGGAGCAGTCAGGGCCCTATCGATCAAGCTTTCCATGCCTCCATAGTGGGTTACTCGTCACCAGGTTGTAAAAAATTATGAGAATATGGCATATATCCACATCAGCACCCCTTGGCCGATCAGTAACCCTTCCAAATCACTACGATTCTGAGTGGAAGTGGAATGCGTGGCGCATCCCAAAAAGACTGATCAACGTTGAATAATTAATCAATTTTCTTTTATGGACAGTTTGCCAGTGCAGAGTAATTTGATATGCTTATTGTACACTCTCAGAAAGTTGCGACCTTGAGGTTCAAAGCATGTGCCATCGGGTCGGCAGTGCGTCAGCTGTTGTTTGCAGTGTATTTTGAGATATGGATGGATGCCGATGTTTCATGACTTCGGCTGTGTACAATGTTATTGCATAATTGCCTTAGTCATGAATCGACTGGAATATCGATTCAGTTTTTCAGGTAGAAAGTGACTCGCTTTCGGATAAAGCTGGAATGAAACCAAATGATGAAGTTGATGCCGTCTGTGGACGAGATGCAAAGGTCGGTAGATGGTTATAGCTGCAATTTCATTTCCTTCAGCCATTATTTTTTGCATATGAGCGTTCGTTAACGAGGCAAACGCTTATCGAAAGGTCACACCAGGAGGTGCAGTTCAATCTCAGACGGTAAGGTTTCGGCCTTCATCAAGGCCATGTACATTCTAAGTTATTATAGAAGGATTTAATAGGGACTACAGGAACAGGTGAAGGCACTGAGGTGCGCTCTAATAAAAATTGCCGAAAAAGGATAAAAACTTTTCGATAGATTTTTTTCTCAGTATGCAGTCAGAGGCATTTTGGACGACATAAGGGAAATAAGATAGAGGTGACGACCGAAAGTAGAGATCAAAACGCCAAATGGTAGCGTCTGAAGCAAAAACCTCGCAAGCTATATTATACCGTTTTTGACGAGCTTAGCATGGGCGTTCCATGGTGTAGCTAGGAAGTCCTTTGCCAGGGTTACCCTTTAACCATTAGAATACGCGCAACCTTTCGCAGTTCGCAGGCTTCGGATAACGGGTGCCAGAGGTACCTTTTAACGCAGTAGAATACGCGGAACCTTGTCGGTTTCGCAAGGCTGACTACGGCGAGTTTCTGAAGGATAAAACGTAAGCTCAATTCTGGCTCATGGCAAACGTAATCCTCGATTGGATCAGTGTACCAAGTCCTCACACAATTACAATGTTTGTTGGGAGCACAACAGCATGAAATAGGGGCCTTTGCTACGCAAAAGCGTCGAGAGAGGTGTTGGTGGCGTAGGACATCGTAACTATGCCACCCATGCATCACCCACGTCTAACCGTTGCCAATTGTGTTGTCTTGCCTCCCTACACTCTTTACGTTTCCCGAATCTCGTCGTTTTCGCGATTTCTCGCGTCGGCACTCAAATAGTGAAAAAAGGGCTTCGTTAAGGGCCTTTTCAGTTTTATTTTACTTTTTTTTCCACTACCAAGCTGATTAACCCTCGTTCGTGGTTGATCGCATTTTTTCCTTTTCTGCTGTGGAATGCGCGTCGCGTTCCGTTTGAAATGTTCCACACACTCAAATTGTGTATCTATTCAATCTACGCGGAAGCTTTTGATGACTTTATGATTTTTGGACGGCCAGCCCACTAATATACTGGGTTAGCGAAAATTACGGTAGCAAAAGCACTCTCAAGTCACCTAAAATTCTTCGAACTTAATTGGTGCGTTTTCACAAGAAGAACCATGGCATATTGTAGCAAGATAGACCACCCGCTCACAAAGTGAAATTGTGCAAAAATGGTGCAGCGGAAGTTTCCGGAATACATGATTTTGAACGAATAGCACACGACTCTCCCAATTCAGAGCATAATCCAACGTCCCCCTCCCCTCCCCCCCCCCCCCCAAGAACTAATGTTCAACTGTGTTTGAGCCCATGATAATACATAACTGTTGTACCTTGCTAGGCGCGTTTGATTTCCATGCTCACCTTATTTTGCTACCGTAATTATTGCCCACCCCCTGCACATCTGGTTGTTCTATTCCCAGATGCACGTTGAAGGCAACCTGCCCTTTTGAAATGGCAGGAGGTTCAATTGAGAAGGGCGATAGTAGATATTACACGGTGTAATACAAAGGGATGGCCAAGAAAAAGTGACACCTTGCTCATGGCTCACGTCTGCAAATTTATCTCTCACGGAGTGCCGTGCTCAATGGAAGTGTTTCCCCAGAAAATTGGTTAGGTGTATCCCCATCAGCAGAGCCAAGCCTTCCTTCACTACTCCCACCGTCTTCAGAAAATGACTATGGTGCATAAGAAGGCCTACTGTAATCGCTCCAGACTGAAGCTGCTACATAATTTCTTCAATCGGTTAACTGGTGAATAGCTTCCCTAGAGACACTAGCTGTGACTATGCAAGGTCGCTTTTGACCAGCGTTTCAGATGACGTTGTAATGGCCTATGATAGACGACCTCGTTGAGCTCGTACCATAACTATGTTCCCGCGGCAAATTCTTCTGATGTCCAGACAGTCGAGGACTACTTCAACTCGGTCGGTACGGTAGGAGAGTACTGACGCAAGTGGTGCAGCTGGTCCAGCAGCTCCGCCAGAAGGGCTGGTTTGCTCACCCCAGGACTAAGCCTTGGAGAGACGGACCCGTCCTCTCTTTAAGGCTTAGTTCTGAGGTAAGCACCAAATTGTGGCGGTTCTAAGGACCGAGTTGAAGTGGTCCGTCGACCGTCGGGGACCCCATCCCCTCCCCAACATTCAGCATACGGCCCCAGCAGAAACGCCAAAAGGGCTGGTTTGCTTACTTCAAACAGGAATCAGGACCAATACACACAAGCTTGCGGGAAAAATTTACGATATTTCCTAATTATATGTACTTCACAACGTGTGTATAGGCGTGCAGCACAATGTGAGCTACAGCGACGTCATTCCATAAAACTCACCTATCACATTCTTGCGCTAAGCTCATCTCTCTTGAGATTTTTCACTTTTTTGCTATTGCATTCCCTTCGTTGTAATAGTTGTCATATTACTTTGGGAGCTAGTTGAGCAATTACCTCTGTGAGTGGAAACAATGTAAGTGTAGGGATTCATCTGCAGTAGCCCGGTTAACATCAATCTCTTGCAAATATGTATATCCTGTTTGTGCTTCGATAGTACTCCTTTGCGGCGAACATGAGACATGGGTTCAATTTCCGACCACGGTAAAGATTTTTGCCCACAAGTCAGCGTCTTGATGAAAACTTAAAGGCAGTGAGTGCGATGAAGTGTATTTGCATCAGGGAACTGTATACAGGGAGGACCGAAAAAAAGAGTTACTTTGCCCATGGCGCATATCATCAAGTTTTTCGTCATACGGGAGGCCGTTGTTGAGGATTTACGGGCAGAATATTCCTTTAGGTGTTCCCCCTAAAGCAGAAGCAGGCCCTCCTTCACTGCCCCCGCCGTCTTCAGAATATGACGTCATCTCCCGTCACCGTCGAGCTCAAGGCGGCTTGCCGCAATTGATCCGACCTGAAGCTGCTACATAATTTCTTTAACCGATTAACCTCTGAATAGCTTCTAAGAGACACCTGTGACTGTGCAAGATCGCTTTTGACCAGCGTCAGGGACATTTCGTTAACGGTTATGGTGACTGCTACGACCTCGTGTGGAGCAGCAATGCCCTGAACCATGGTTTTCTGGGAAATCTTCGATGTCTTCGTGTAGAAAGCTTTTATTGCACCTTTTCGATAGATCACGTGCGCTTTGTTGTTACAGTGAGCTCATTTGGCTTGTTGTAACGTGTTATTTTAAACTCGTTTTAATATGGAGGGAAGGTATCTCATTTTGGCCCCACCCCTGCAAAAGCGCTAGTGGAAACGGTAACCAGGTGGCCAAGTAAGCGGGTGTGGCGTTTAGGGGCAAACCATGCGCTAGTTGCAATGCATTTAGACACCTAAAGTAAACTCCGCCTTCTCCGAGCTTGCCCCGTTTTCTTCGGGGTAAACTCTCCTTATCGGCCAGCATCTGAGGCGTGAAATCATTCCTGCCCAACGGAAAGTCTGAGAGTCCCACCTACAGGCTTCTGACGGTTTATTTTGGTAATCTTCTCTAGTGAAACTTTACTTGGCACCTTTACTTTCATATCACCACCAGTCATCGTAATAGCTGCCTTTAAGCTATTTTAGTTCAAAGTAGCTCTCCGGATAGGATGTGTGTATCTGTTCTCCTTAAACCTAGGTTAAACTGCTTCAGAGACTTTCTTCTGCAGCAATCCCACTTGTCAGAGAAAAGGCGGAAAGCATATGGAAGGATGAATCTGATTTTTACTGGGAAGGTCCCGCCCATTTTTATCAGTCGCGCTAACCCTTGGAAACCAACTTCTTTCTTACTGCGTGACTATACCAACATGTAGAACTACTCTAACAAAAGAAACTCCCATATGATGGTTGTTATTTTAGTTATGTCACATCGCACACATGCTTACCGTGGACGCTGACGGAGCAGGACAACAAGCTGATCGTCGACGAGGTGCGACCTGGATTCGGCTCTGGATTTGGCACGGTTTGTCATTCTATTTTCGAAAATTTCAAAACACTTAGACTAGAGTATATGTGGGTGGCTTTGTTGTGGATTTTGTTAGCAAACCGTAGTATAGAAATTCTCAGTACAGCACATCCTAACCTTCACGAGTGCGCATTGTGAGTCGATCGATATCTTTAACCCAATCTGGTTTTAAGATTTTTATTAACCTGAACCCAAACCGACCAGATAATTATGAGACAGCGACAATTGGCGATCACCCTCATGGGCTTTTTCAATGACACTTTTTTCTCGCTTTCAAAGCTGAGCAAGAGCAAAGTCCGAATCTGAGACTGCACAGTTTCGTGAGTAGTAATGGGAAGAACAACACTTGTTCGGAGCTAACTTAGATGTGAGGAGCTTATTGACTGCGAACATCTACAGGGGTAGAGGCTGGAGAAATTGCTCGT